GATGTGGCCAATCATTCTTTCCATTGATGAGGAAAATCACAGCCCCGGGAAGTCTTCGTTCATCATGTAGAAAATCCTCAAGGCCTGCCCAGTAAGATACTGTTCCTTCCCAACACCCAGAGAAGCACACCAGTCTCTGATTGTGAGCACCTAACAGTGGCAGAGGCCCTTCTGATGGAGTCAGAGCCCCACGCCTTTTGAGTGAGCTTGTGTATATCTGGCCCAGAGGTGGACGGTTCTCCCAAGAGGGTGGACTTGAAGAGAAAGGTACCAGCCAACATCTCTCTCACTCACCACCTCCACTCTGTTCCTCAGCGGGAGGCCAGCAGCCATGCTGGCTCGCTGGCTCGCTCCTTCTGCTCTTGTTCCTTATTCCTTGGGCTCTCCTCTGTGCTTCTCTGTATATCTCTCTCCAAGTCTGCCTTTCTTATCAGTATGTCTCCAGAAATAGAGAGCTCGTTCAAGGTATTAGGATCCTCTTGAGTTGATCATAAAAACAGTCAGATTGGGGGAACTCCGTTTGTTTAATGAGCCCTTTCAATATTTGCAGCAGGCTTTAATTTCACGTGAATCTTTAAACTGCTGAAAGCTTGAGATAGTCTTTTCTCTTGTGTCATGAAAATATTTTCAAAAATGTTCACTAATTCACTTAAAAACACAGGATGAGGACTGGGCCTGTAGCTCAGTCAAAGGACAGATGCAGCTCACTTGATAGAGTGCTTGCCCAGTGTATGTGAAGCTCTATGATTGACTCCCAGGAACATGCAAAGCAGGTTCAGTGCACACATTTATAATCTCGGGTCTCAGAGTATGGAGGCTAGGATCAGAAGTGTAAGGTCATTTGTGGCTGCATACTCAGTTTGAGGCCAGTGTGGGACATTTAAGACCCCGTCTCCAGAAAAATGAAAGGTTTAAGACATTTTTTTGTGGAAGCAGAATTGACAAAAAAAAAAGAAAAGAAAGAAAGAAAGAGAGAGAGAGAGAAAGAGAGAGAGAGAGAGAGAGAGAGAGAGAGAGAGAGAAAGAAAGAAAAGAAAAACAAAATACCTCTGCACTTATTTAAAAGTGAACAATGTTATCACTGCTGAGATCCTGAGACCCGCTGCAGGGAAGGTGGTTATATTTCCAGATCTGCCCCGGCCATTGCTGACCCTTGCTTGTCCCTGCCAGGGAGCCAAGCTGTGTGGACCATGTGGTCCCCTTGTGTTTCCCAGGAGGCTTGTGTAGGTGGAGCTTTTATATGTGCTATGAGCTGTTATATTTCCACAGTCCATTCTTAGGATGTTATAAGGAAAATAGGTCATTACTTGCTAAGAACACAAAACGTGTTTAGTCAGCAAAGCAAATGACAAAACTCTTCCTTCGGTCTGTTCAGTAAAATACAGAGAGTCAAGGCCAGGCCAGGTGATGCTTGGAGTCTGAGTGGCCATAACAACGTTATTAGAAGGATTCTGGCTTGGTTGGGTCTTCAGAACTGAGATAAGTCAAATTACATGACTATGATATAGACTTATCACCTCAACTAAAACTTAGCCCATGTCAGGGAGTGGGAGGGGACAGTTTAAATTAAACCAAAACTGGCCTTCATCCTGTTTCAGAACATCCTTACATGGAGTAGTGAGCCCAGCTGCTAATGTCTCTCCATGAAGGGCTGTCATTCTTAAGTTTTACCCTGTGGTTGTGCACAAACTGGCAGGGCCTGTGTGCTGGGCTGTAACTGCTAGGCCTAGATACGCCGTCCTTGCGAATGGCTGTGGACCATAGCTCTCTGGCCTCCTACTTAGAACAATCCATAAAGCTTCTGAATTTTATCTTTCCTTTTGATTTTCTCACATTGGAAAGCCCACCTGTTGCTTTTGGAACTATGGTCCCAGGAGTGGCTGCCTGCTTTGGGCTCCCTTTCCTGCCGGGTGCTGGTCACTGAGTCCTCTGTCTTCTCCTGCTGCCAGCTCGTTACTCCCAGCTTCCACCTCACACACGTCAGGCACAGTGTTTGTGGCTGACTGGATAATCGTCTTGAGAACATGAATAGGGTCACTCTCTCTTACACCTGCTGTGGGCCTTCCACCTAGCCTTTCTCTTATAGCACCTGGACAGTCCCATGTCTGTGGTAGCATCTGTGTGTCCCTTCTCTGTCTCCCTGGGTGACATCCCCTCTTCTCTGGGCCTGTGATCCTCAGTCCTCCCCTGATGGCTCCAGTTCTGAGAAGCATTCTATGGAGCCTGTCCTCTTGTGGGAGGGAGGTTGCCTCCTGGTCCTGGGATTCTGATCCTTGTTGCTTATCAGCTGAGCTTATTATGCCTATAGAGTCCTGGGATAACAGCTGTCTGGAAACACAGCCGTGTGCTTACCATTTAACCACACGCTCGTGTGACGGTGCTTGTTTCATGGCTTTGCAAGATAGAAAATGAGAGAGTATTTAGTGTTTGGCAGAGCAAAGTCCTTACTTTCACACTCTGATTAAATTATAATGATTAATATCACTTGAAAAGGAAATGTAATTGTTTCATTTAATCAATATGATTATTACTGGCACAGCATATCTATCAAGTGCTAGGGTGATAAATTCATGCTAATACAATTTATATTGTACTGCTGTTGGAATCAGCCTTCCCTGGCATCAGCTCTTGAAGTCGATTCTCAGCTTTTTGAGCCTGGAGACACTTGTCAGAGAAGGGGCTTCTGAGACTCAGAACAGAAGTGGAGAGGGTACCAGCTCCTGGGGCGTCAGTCAGTGCAATTGTCTCTTCCTCTATCCTGTGGGTTGCCTGTTCTCACATTCACACATGTACCTGCACAGGCATGAGAGTACTCTGCCTAGTACATGTGTATGGGCTTGTCTGTCTGACCCCTCCCCCCCGCCACACACACACACACACACACACACACACACACACACACACACACACACTTAGTTCCTGTCTCCCTCCTCAGCATCTCTTCTCCTTTCTGAGGAATAGTCTCCAGCTGCCTCATCCCTGACCTGCACGAGGGTTTCTCTATTCTCTTTTGTGTTACAGGTTATCTGGTGGCTGTGTCCAACAAGTGGCCATTAGCTACTCTTTTTCTTTGTTTTGTTTTTTGTTTTTTCGAGACAGGGTTTCTCTGTGTAGCCTTGGCTGTCCTGGAACTCACTCTGTAGACCAGGCTAGCCTCGAACTCTCGAACTCAGAAATCCGCCTGCCTCTGCCTCCCAAGTGCTGGGATTAAAGGCGTGCGCCACCACCGCCCGGCCATTAGCTACTCTTGTAGCAGCTGCATGCAATGCTCTGTAAACCCGTTGTCATTGGAGACATTCTTCCAGTGCTGATTTTTTTCTAATATATGTTTACTAATGTGTTTTCTGAACAGAAGAAACTAGTATAAAGCAATTATTTTAACCACGTGGCCACGCACCCATCACCAGCTCAGTCCGTGCCATGCTGCTCTTTGATGGCACCTTTCCTGGCACACTGGCAGATACCTTCTACACTGTGCTTTTAAATTCTGTCTCAGCTTTAATCCTCAGTTTTCCATGGCCTCACACATCCATGAGCTTATGACTTGACTTGTCTGAGAGGAAACTTTAGGTGGTGGTGTCAACATGTATCTCTCATGTTTCTCCTATGTGTTAACTTGGTAGATCAGACTTTTACACACCTATGTGTACCCACAGCTTAACCTACCTGTAGCATGTAGTCTCTATTTCCCTGCTTTAAGCTCTGGACAGACCGTGCTACCATTCCTCCCAACCCCAGGTTCCCTTGGATCCTCGGATGAAGGACATTCATACACATTTGCTTTTAGCTCAATAGCCAGGCTCTTCTAAGATTCCCTTGAGTAGAGTCTCAAAGTGGTAGGAGCATGTTATTTCATTTCTTGAGGTTCTGTGATGTGTCTGGGTGTCACTGGAGAAGCATGGCAAGGCTTACCCCCATGGTCTGCTCTCCTACTGCTCGCTGGATCTTGGTGGAGCTGGACTGTGACAAAGTGAGGTAGCTCTGGGAGCCCATGCCAGGAGCTCTGTGTGCCCTTCTCCCAGGCATGCTGAGGTGATGAAGGAGCCGTTCTGGGCACTTGGCCCAGATGCCTTTGTGCTGGGCTGGATGGCTCTGCAACCCACAGTTCCAGGTCTGTAAGGCATCTGTGAGGAAGCTGTTGACTTTGGTGGCATGAGTGTAGGGCTGTGGGCGGCACAGCAGGGAGACTTGCAGGCAGACTGACTTCACCCTGCCCCTCAGAGGACCTACAGCAGTGTCCTGACGGCAGGGAGCACTTGCAAGGGTTAGCAACTGAGCTGACAACACACACTTTATTTTTGCTTCTAGCAAGGATGTACTCAGAAGATCTAGTCCCCTCTGTGCATGGCTCCCCAGGCACCTAGTAGGAACTCTGTAGGGGAAGGGCCATGAGTCAGCTGTGCTGAAGAAGTACTCTCACTGGTTTACAGTTGACAGTTCACTGAGGAGAATTGGCCTGCAGATAACTTCACAGCCCTCAACTTCCAGAAGCAGGGTGGCCGGCCACCAGGGTAGGGTAAGGGCTGGGCACATGGGTTTCTGTGTCTGTATTCTCACACGCATGTATTTGCATGTATAATGGATGTATGCATTTGATTTTAAAGAGAGAAAATTTTTCCTGAGGCCTCTTTCTTTTCTAACCCCGGTGTTCTGTTAGGGTATTCTGTTCGACCAGCTATATTAAATGTGGACTGTAATATGTGCATTGACTTGCGGGCAAGTGAACCAAGGCCTGACCTGTTAGTGTGTATCCCCTTTGAAAATCCCCTAAGAACCTGTTTTAAATGGCATAAGCTTATATAGAGGAAGAAGACTTTAAAAATCAGAGTATTGGGTCAGTCGCAAATGCCTGTAATCTCAGCTCTGGGGAGGTGGATGCAGGAAGATCTCAGGGAGGTCGGCCTACAGACAAGAGTATTGTGGGAGTTCTTTCCTGAGGTGGTGAGAAGCCTTTAACCTCAAGTTAAAGAAGTGCCAAGAAATTGAATCTTTTATTACAGAGTGAAGTGTGTCAGGCTGGACATGGAGAACTCAAGGCGTGGCTAAAGGAAGCACGGCGGCCCAGCGCATCACGTTTGCTATTTCAGTGCTGCTGGGCAGGGAGCTCACTGTGCTCGCCCTGAAGGAGTTTTGCCTCAGGATTTGAGCCAATATAAAAACTAAACAAATTTCAGGGTAAGTAAAAATCCTTTTAAAATCTCATAAAAATCGGACCAAAGATGACTTTTGTGCCAAGTGTGGTGGCAGAGGCCTGAATTCCAACCTTTCAGGAGACTGAGGCAGGAAGATTAAGAGTTCAAGGTCAGCCTGGAATACATAGCAAAGCCCTGTCTTTAAAAAAAAAAAGTTTAATTAAGTTCTTTGGCTTACTGTTGGAGTGTATTTCCCTGAATAATCCCAGCACAGATTGTTACCCTGAGCTAGTTCACGCACGTCTTCCTGTGGCCACAGATCACCTTTAGACCTCACATCCCTCCAGCCTTCCTTGGGGCTGCCTCTCACTGTTGATAAAGCCAGTGCTTTGTATCTGGCACAGCAAAGCCTTGTGAGAGCCTTTTACCACTTACCACTTTTTTCTTTGAACCGTCTTTGGTGTTTCGTCTTTATGGCTGTCAGTTAGGGTAGCATCTGTTCTTGTGGGGGTGCTTGAAGCCCTTAAAGAACTAGTGTGAAGGTAGCTCCATTACGGCTGTATTCTAGGCTATGAAAGAAGTTTCTTCTCGGTGTGGAGGTAAGGGAAGCTGGGAGGACTGTGGCGGCAGAAGGTGCTGAAGTGACTCTTGAGACTAAGGAAGGATTCACGCTGGCACTGGCCGCCTGTTTCTAACATGCCACAGAGGTAAAGCATTACACTGATTCCATGTGTAGTCCTAGCTTTGCTGCTTCCTCACTTACAGGCTGATGTTGAAGAGCACCCCTGTTTGGCAGCTGCAGTGCGAGACATCCACTGAACATCAAGGGCTAGCCTGCACTGCCGACTAGAGAGCCTTGGGTAGAAGTTTCCGAGAATGTACATGTGGGCAAAGCAGAACAGCTCCTAGAGACATCTCTATGTTTGGGGAGCAGCAGTGGGCTCGCTTCTGACCACTGGGTTTTGAATTTGTGCTAAGAAAGACCGTACCTGTGCCCATAAATGTCCCAGAAAGAAACTGAGAGCTTTAGAAGAGATTCTTTTTCATCTACATCTGATGTTGATCTTTTCTTTTGGTGGAACATGTACAGGCAGGAGGTGGGAAGAACCAAACCACACAGTTCCCTTCATCACTGATGTGCCAGTAAGCAGAGTTTTATTTTCATGGACAGCCCTTCTCTTAGCTCCATTGGAATGGGAAGTCAGTTTCTCTGTAACCAGAGTTTTCTGAGAGACACTGAAGATCCCAGAGCTGAAGTGAATCTGGAGACTAAGGGAGATCACGCTGCCACTTTGAGCGCCACTAATGGCCGCCTGTTTTTTAACATGCCACAGAGATAAAGCATTGCATTGATTCAGTCATGTGTGTGAAGCAGCAGGATGAGTTGTTTCTATCCTTTTACATAGCTCTTCTTAGGGAAATACAGGAAAGTCAGGCCACAAGGAGCTCTGTGCAACATATGCCCAGAAAGCAAAGCTACTGGCTGAGTGCTAAACTCTGCGCATTGTCTCCTCCTACTGGCTCTGTGAATCAACGCTAGCAGCAGTGTAGAAACAGTGTGTTGCTTTTTACCTCAGGTGATGTGAGCTAATTTTGTCAACAGTTTGGTGTTTTGATTTTTTTTTCCTTCATCTGGTTTGAAGTAAAATAAACATGTAAGCTTTGGGCTACTGTAGTCCTCCTTCTCTTGGTTAGGTTACCACATCTACTTTATAACATGTACCCTCCTCAGACAGGCATGGCACACTCCAGGGACTTGGCATCTAGTGCCAGCATGGTGGCTGTGTTCCCTTGGCTTGGTCCTTAAGAAGTGGTGTATAGCTCAGGGATTACTTCTGGCAGAGATGTCAAGTACTGGGGTTTCCCGTTGAGGTGGTGCAGTCTTGTGTTCCTTCTAGAGTGGTTGCATTGCTGAAAAACACATGATAAAGATACGTAAGCATCATTGTGCTTGTGTATAAAACACCAGTAGGTCATGGCGTAGCTCACATAGACAGCTTCTGGTGTGTGTGTTAGTCAGGGTTCTCTAGAGGAACAGGAATAGATAGAATGAACATCTGTATGTGAAAGGGGATTTCTTTTTTTTTTTTTTAATTTCTAATTTTAAAAAAACTTTTTTTTTAATTTCTTTTTTTTTTGAATATGAAATGCTTTTTTTTTATAGCATGTTTTACAAGGGGAGGGGGTAAGAGGGTCCAGGTGGTGGAAAAGTACAAAATCTTCTTGGCCTGTGCCTTGAAACATGTCATGGTCTATATGGTACACTGCCTTGAATTATGATCTACCTGCAGTTCTTCAGAAGATAGAAAGGGGATTTCTTAGAGTGGTTTACAGGCTGTTACTTTGGCTGTCTCCTGACAGAAAGGTCAAGACTCTGGTAGTTGTTCAGCCCAAGAAGCCAGATGTCTCAGGGGATTCCTAGAAAGCTGTTGATCTTCTGGCTGTCCTATGGAATCCTGAAAAAGTGGGCTCTAACACCAGCAAAGGAATGCCTCAGCAACAGGCTATATGAACAGTGAGGGTCAGGGCAAGTAGGCAAAAGCAGAAGTGTCCTCCTTCCATGTCCTTTTATGTGGGCTGCCACCAGAAGGTGTGGCTAAGACTGAGGGTGGCTCTTGTCATGTCATATGATCCAATCAAGAAAATCCCTCACAGGTGTGCTTAACTGCTTGATTTTTAGTTGATTCCAGACGTAGTCAAGTTGACAGTCAAGGTTAGTCATCACAGGACAACACACAGGTCTGTTTTGGGAGGGTCTTGCTCGTCTTTGAAGTCCAGAAGACCTTTGTCACTGGTTACCAAACCCTTGTAACCTTCATCTCTTGACACTTCCGGGCTCCCCTTTCACTGCCTGCTCTCACAGTCCCAACTGTCTGCTTGTGTGGTGCCTGATCCACCATTCTCACGAGGACCCGGCCCGTGCCAGGATCAGGAACACCTCCTGTGCAGGGACTGGTGCTTCAGAGGACAACAGGGGCTAATACAGGGGCTCTGGAGGCAGTAGTCTGGAAGGTGAATGGAAACTCATCCATGAGTAGGGAGGAGTGCACCCCAGAGCCCTAAGAAGCAAAGCTCCTGTGCACAGGACTTTTCTCCATCTTTTCCTAGGAACCTATTCATGGGCTGTTTGATTATTTCCTTCAAGATATTCTGTATAGGGAACTGGAAGACCAGTAAGGTTTTTTAGAGGGTAAAAGTGCTTGTTACCAAGCCTGAAAACCTGAGTTTCATCACTGAGATACACATGTAGAAGTGATCTAACTAACCTCATAATCAATCTCTCTCTCTCTCTCTCTCTCTCTCTCTCTCTCTCTCTCTCTCACACACACACACACACACACACACACACACACAGACACACACACAGACACAAATAAATAATTGTAATTTGTTTTAAAGAAACTGGAAGCTGGAGAGATGACTTAGTCCAATTCCAGCATACACTATAACTCATAACTATCTATACCTCCAATCCCAGGACATCCAGTGTCGTCTTCTAGCCTCAGTAGGCACCAGGCTCACACATGGTGCATAGATATTCATGTAGGCAAAAACACCCATACGTATAAACTAAAAATAACAAAGTGTGAGGAAAGTATTCCTCAGAGTTCTGGGAGCTCTGTGAGCAGGGGTTACGAGAACTCTGACTTGGAACTGGCCAATCAGAAGTTCAGAGGCCTGGGCTTGAGGCTCTGGGAACAGAAACCTCAGCCATTGGCACTGACACACCTCACATAGACAGTTTCAGGACTGCACTGAATCAAAGGCACCGGCTGCTCAAGAGCTGGTACCTTGCTTCATAGTGGGAAGAAACCATCATATGGGGGCACAAAAGCGAACTGTAGCTGTAGCGAGAGTCCCGCAAGAGAAAGTGCACTTCTCCCAGCCTTATTAACTCGCCCTCATTTGCAAAAGACCTTCATGTAGCACAGCAGATCAGAAGGGCTGCGGAAGACAGAGAAGTCACCGCTGTCTGCACTGCTGCTTTGCAGGGAGCTAGAATAGCTTTCTCAGCAGTCCCTGTCACCCCAGAGTCTTAAGATCACTTACTTGCCATTTTATCTTTAACTAGGAGCCAAGCCCAAGAAATAGATCCATACCAGGCTTCCCCTGATGGAACTTCCCCTTAGCCTTCCTGTGCCCATCAGCCAGTGCGTGGAGCTGATGCTTGGTACCTGGGCTACAGGTCAGATATTGTGAACATTTCCTTCAGATGGCATGCTGAGGCCAGAATGAGCCAGGATACCTACTGGGACATGGGCGTTGACTGCAGAGGGCAGAGGAAGGTGTCTCTCCCTTGGTGGTAGTGTACCAGTAACTGCACTTTTTTTTTGAATAGGTCAAAATCCTTCTAAGTCTCTTTTTAGAATTGTGCCCTACCCTGGGCACTTGCCCAGGCTTTCCCACCCCTCTTTCTCTGACTTATAGGTTGCTGATTCCTTCTGTCTCACCCTACTCCTGCCTAGCTGTCCACACAGATCTATTCAATTACCTATTCATACTCCTGCACTGGGTTCCACCTCATATCGCCAGCTTTCCCTTGTGGCTCTCATCTCTGCTTAAGACCACCAGCGGATATGCATGCTTGAGAGAATGCGCCTGGCCTTGACTTTGTCCTTTGTACAGTCACTCTTTCTCTGTGTGGTCAGTGGGCCTTGACAGTCTCTGGCCATACAATCCTGACACTCTAGGGAGTCACAGAAGGACCACATAAAGTTTGCTTCAGGCCAGAGAGTAAGGAAGGGGGTCAGCTGCCATGATGGGTAGCACCCTGGCCAAAGCTGTTGTGAGTAAAGGAGACATCCAGGGCCTGTAGTTTTCTAAGTTCTGCCCAACCCTAGAGCAGCTCTTTTGAGTGGCGTCTTCTGGACAGCAGGTGGCGCTGTGGGATTACTCCAGAGAGAGCAGGCCGGCAGCAAGCTGGGCAAAGCTGTGAGTGGCTGTGACAAGTAGACTGAGCTACAGTCCCTCCTTTTTAACATGGAAGGTATGGGCTTGCTAACCCCTGAGGCTGCATGTGTTGTCACCACTTATTTTTCACAG